CTCTCTGTCTTTTAGTTACTCTGACCAAGGGTTTGCCTGTCTTGCTGATTTTCTCAAAGACAAAAGTGATGTTAAGAGCTGACCTGAACAAGGTGGAGATGTTGGACCCCAGACTGATGGCTGAGAGGCCAGCATGGGACTGATCCATAACCCCTGAATGCCGGTGTCAGTGAGGAGACTTAGGCAATCTATGGAGCTTTGGGAAGTAGATCAGTATTTATCCCTGGCACACAAATGGACTTTGGGTGCTCATCCCACAATGAGGGATGCTCTCTCAATCTGGACACTTGGGGGAGGGCCTGGGCCCTCCCCAGAACAAAATGACAGACTCTAGAGATCCCCCATGGAGGGCCTTACCCTCCTTGGGGAATCGAGTGAGGACTGGGTGGAGGGTTGGGAGGGTGGGGGGGGTGGGCGTGGAGGGGAGAGAGAGGGAGCTGGGATTGACATGGGAAGCAAGCTTTGTTTCTAATTTAAATATAAAATAAAAACATGTCAAAAAATAAAAAATTTAAAAAAGTGATGTTAAGTTACTAATATGAGATGTCTCCAATTTTTTAAATGTAGGTACTTGCCTCTTAGAATGGCCTTCATTGTGTTCTATAAGTTTGAGTATTCATTCATTGAGTATTCATACCTTTGTGTGTTCATTTTCAGTAATTCTAGAAAGTTTTATTGTTTTCCCCTAATTTCTTCCTTGACCCATTTCTCATTCAATAATGAGTTATTCAGTTTCCATGAATTTGTAAGCTTCCTGTCATTTCTGTTGTGGTTGATAATCCAGCTTTAATCTGTGGTGGTCATATAGGATGCAGGGTGTTTTTTAAATTTTCTTTCCTGTTGAGACTTGTTTTGTGTCTGAGTATGTGATCAACTTTTGAAAAAGTTTCATGCAGTGCTCAGACGGTACACTCTTTTGTGTTTGGGTGAAATGTTCTGCAAATATCTGCCATTTGGTTTATGATGTCAATTAGCTCCAGCATTTCTTACTTAGTTTTTGTCTGGATGACTTGCCTTTTGTTGAGAGAGGGGCACTGAAGTCTTCCATGATCAGTGTGTGAGGATCAATATATGATTTAAGATGTAGTAGTGTTTGTTTTACAAACTTGGGTGCCCTTGTGTTTGGTGCATAAATATTGAATTGCAATCACCTCATAGTGGATTTTTTTCCTTTGGTGAATATATAGTGTCCTTCCCTATCTCTTGTGATTAGTTTTGGTTTGAAGTCTATTTTGTCAGATATTAAAATGACTGCACTGGCTCGTTTCTTAGGTCCATTTGCTTGGAATACCTTTTTACCACGCTTTTCCCCTGAGGTGATGTCTATGTTAAAGTGTGTTTTTTGGATACAGCAGAAGGATGAATTCTGTTTTCAAATTGGTTATGTTAGCCTGTGTCTTTTTTATTAGGGAAATGAGACTATTGATGTTGAGAGTTGTCAATGAATTATTTGCTGATCCCTGTTATTTTGCTGTAGTGTGGCTTTTCCCCTCCATTCTTTTGATTTGCTGGTCTGGGATTATCTATTCCCTTTGTTTTCTTGGGTGAGGTCAACCCCTTGAAGTTGAAGTGCTTTTGTTGGTATTTTATCACAGCAACGAGAAACTTAAATAACCCTCCATCCCGATATGCATTTTTCTTTCTGAAGGCCCACTTCAGACTACACAAGATGTCTTTGTATTTTGGCTTCAACAAGTTGCAGAACAGATTCTTGTCAAAGTAGACTTGTAAGCTACAATCATTGCCCATGTCTATACAGATGCCAAGACACACAGGCATACAAGAGATATTCACTAGACAAGGAGAGTGAGAGCTTGAAGGATACCACAGTTCCCTGTGTAATGCCAAGTTTAAGTTGTTGGAGGCAGTCAGTTCTCTGCTTTTGAATCAAGACTGGATCCATCTTATAGGTGTGCAACGAATGCAAGCTGCTGCTTTCTTATCCTAGGACTTGGTGGGCTATATTCATGGGTAGGGTGAATTATTTGTGATCCAGGACTATCTAGGAATGCTGCTTCCTTAAGTGACTAAAGAGAGCTATCCAATGAGGAGTACTTTCTGTCTACCTACAGTTGGATTTCTGGTTCTGTCTTGCTGGCTTTATTGTTCTGGTATATCCCAGGGAGAGAGGAAACAGTCTCCTTCCTGTAGAATGCTGGGGCACCCTGGCATCTATCTGAGGTTAACATGATTATGTGTAGTATGTGAGCTGAGGAGGTTAAGGTTCATTTTTAGAGCCAGTTTTCCCTTTGGAAATACCCACATCTCTATGGAAATGCCTCCTCCAGTTGAGGTGAGCTGATTCTAGTTTAGAGTCCTTGTGGGAATGTGTCACTGATAAATCCCCCAGGGCTGGAGAAGGGAGGAAAGCTGTGTTCTTAGGAAGACAGAGGAGGAGAGCTGTGAAAACCTCATTGTTTTGTTCTTTTGTCAGTCTATTCCAAGAATCTTGAGGAAGAGCCACCTTAGGCTCCCCAAGATCCTTCATCATCATTCGGCATTTCACTCACTTTATTAGTTATTTTTCTCATTTCCACAATGGAATTCGCGTCAAGCAACAATTTTTGGGAGGTGAAGTTTCTTTTTGCTTATGGCTTGAGAGTACAGGCCATGGAGACTGGGGAGCCCTGCTGGCACACCACACCTGGGCAGACTGGGAAGTAGCAACTAGTCAGGAAGAAGGGCTGGCTGTGAAAACCCAAGGCCACCACATCCACTTCCTCCACAAACACCTCCTGACATTTGCACAACCTTCCCAAATGTAGTCATCAGCCATGGACCAAGTATTCAAAAGCATGAGCTTATGGGGGAACATTGCATATAAAATCCATGCCAAATAATGAGGTAATTTTTAAAAGTCAAATTATTCTAAATATAGTTATTTTGGAAATGCAATTTGCATTAATCACTGGAGTGCCAAAATATAACTGTAAGAGAAACTAGAATCACTTAGGATGATCAGGTAATTGGAGTGAACCATTAAATGGGGACTCCAGGGTATTCCTGTCCATTTTTAGAAGCAATTGTGACTCTTTTTTGGATGTGTTTGCCTGGTACCTTTTCCCTAGAACTTCCATTCATAATGTGTCTAGGGAAATGTGTGTGAGGTTGGCAAATAGGATTCATTTAGAAGAGGATTATATAAGAACAGTGTGTGAAAAATGATAAGCTGTTGTAAGAGATTTCAGAAGGGAATCAGTGGATGTATTTGAAAGAAATTGAATAAAGTTGAAGAGGCTGTTGCCCATGAGGGAACACTTCCTTGTCTATATTAAAGTTGAAGAGGCTGTTGCCCATGAGGGAAGGCTTCCTTGCCTACATTAGAGTTGAAGAGGCTGCCTCCCATCAGGAAAGGTTTCCTACCTGAATTTTGTTGGGAAGTTCTACCTGCATTCCCGGAAGGATCATGTTTACTCCCCTTGTGAATAATGAAAATACGTCAGCATTATGTCAGCATCAAGCTGTCTAGGAAGTGGATTGTGATATCTAGGAACTCACAAAGGAGGCACTTTGGGATCATTCATTCTGAGAGCAAACTCCATGGTGTGGTGGTTTGAATGATGTCACCTGTAAATCTCAGTCATTTTAGTAGTTGGGGGCACCATTTGGGTAGATTTAGAAGGTATGACCTTGATGGATAAAGTATGCCACTGAGAGCAGGCTTTGAGGTTTTAAAAGTCATGCAGCCTTTGTAGTGCACTGTCTGTGTGTTGCCTGAGGTTTGAAATATGAGTGCTCAGCTATTGTTACTGCTCCAGTCGCCACGACAACCTGCTGCCATGCTTCCCCATGGATTCTAACCCTCTGTAACCACAGCCCAAATAAACCTTTCTGTAAGTTGCCTTGGTGTGGTGTTTTAGCTCAGCAATAGAAAGGGGACTAATGCAATGGTAGGAAGTATTTACCATCAAAGGCTGTCACTGGCCCAGCTCAGTCACTAGGCAATCATTTCAGTCTCCCCCTCTAGCAGTGTTTGAATCACAATGGTGTATTTGGGGGTGTGATGTGGTGTGTGCATGAACATACATGTGTGCACATTTGTGTGCAGGAGCATGTGCACTTCTGTGCATGTGTGTGTGTGGGGGGTCAGAGGTCAATGTTAGTGTCTTCCTTTGCTGTTCTTCACTTTATTTTTTGAGACAGCTCTCTCACTGAATGAGAGCTCTGTGATTCATCTGGACTGGCTGGTCCATGAGCTCCAGGAAGCCATCTGTCTCCACACATTTACAGCTTCTCTCCCTGTTTACATGGGTGCTGGGGACCCAAACTTTGGTCCTTAGGGTTGTGCCAACACTTTAACTACTGAGCCATCTCCCTGACTCATAATACATTATTATGATAAAAATTAATGTTAACCATGTTATTATCACTCAGATCTCATAGCTGTCTTAGGGATTCACTCTTGTTGTCTGTACATTTGGTGGGTCTAGAAGAATACAGAGATCATGTGCTCATCATTACAGCATAACGTAGGAACATTTCACTACCAGAACAGTTCACTGCTTTGTACAATTGACCCTTCCCTTTGGGTAAGCTCCAGCAGCTCCTGGTTTGTGTTTGTGTCTTCATAGTTTTGCCTTTTCTGAAACACCAGAGTTGGGAGTCCTATTGTGAAGAACCATTGTCAGCCTGGTTTCCTCCTCTCAGTAACATGCATTTACATTTCCTTCTTGTCTTTTCGTGGCTTGTTTCCTTTTAGAGTTGAATACTGTTCCAGCCTCTCCCTTACCCCCCAGGTAACTAGAACTCCCAGGTGTCTCCTAGTGCAGAGACAAGAGTTAAAGAGTATGGCTGTTGGGAGGGTCAACATCCCCTGGGCATTGAACTTGAGCTCTTCCTCGTGATGACATTCGGTAGTGGTTTTTCCCCTGTTGTAATGGATGGAGGCAGCCCTGGTTTCTTTGTGTGGTACACCATTTTGCCTCTGTGGTATTGCAGTCAGCAGTTGCACCTGCCATTACTGCTGCTGATCTGTGCTCTGTCATGTGTTATTGCCCTAGGTGACATGGACAGTCTTGGATGGGGGCTAGTTTGGCTGCTGCAAGGTCTTCACAGTAAGTCTAATTTTATTCACGTGACCACTGTGGTCCCTCGTGGTCAAACATGTTACTACTCCCCTCTGTGTCATTAATAGAACCTTAGTTCAGGATCGTAAATGAGCTGTTCCTGAGCTCTTGGGTGTGGTGATATATTTATGATTTGTTAAAGCTTGCCTGAAGGTACAGAGAGCAAAGCTAGCCACAAGTCAGAGAGCCAGGCAATGGTGATACACATCTTTAATCTCAGCAGCCATGCTAGCTAGCCATAATGCCAAGTGCTGGTGGCACACACCTTTAATCCCAGGACTCAAGAGACAGGCAGATGGATCTCTGTTTGTTCAAAGTCACACCGACCTGCATGAAGTTGATTCAGTCCTAAAGAGAAAGAGTTCACACAAAGGTGATCTCAACACCTGGGATTACATGCCTTTAATTCCAGGATTGAAAGTTATAAAAGGAAGAGGCAGCAGTCTGGGATTGCTGTCTGAGGTTTGGTGGAGAGATTTATTCTCCAGTCACCCTGAGGAGAGGATAGCCCTTTCAGCTGAGGTAGAGATAAGAACCAGTGGCCTGGCTGCCTTGGTTTTCTAATCTTCAGTTTGGAGCTTAAACCCCAATATCTGTCCCTAGGTTTTTATTTTTCATATTACAGTTGGGTTCCTGCCAGACCAGGGGGTCAGTTGGAGGGAGCTCCATGTGGTTTTCTGTGGATGTCAGTGGGAGGGAGCTCTGTGTGGTTTTCTGTGGCAAGGTGATGCACTCACCCTGATAAGGACTTTTTGTTCAGTTATTGCATGGTTTCAATATAACAAAGGAAAAGATCGCAAAGGATCACAGGAGTATCTATCTCATAAATTAGTGCTGTCTGTAGGGCGATAATTAAATGGGGGAACCCTTAATCTCTTATGTTCCTTCATTCTCCATTCTTTGATTAGATACTTCAAGGAAACTAATTTTGCATCTTCAACTTTCAACTTCTGATCTTAGATGCAGAAAAAAATCTACCAGAATCCCCTTGAAATTCTGCAGAAGTAACACTTAGAAGTTAAAACAGTGGACTCGCAGCAACGATGCAAGGCTTATAAGAATGCATTGGGATAAAGCTTGATTTGTGATGCTTGACTTCAGTGTCTTTAGTTACAGTTTGCAAATTCACTTATTTCATGAGATTATAGCTGGGCAGTGTCTGTTGTTTATTTTTCTTTTCTGTCTAAATTGTCCTGAAAACAGTATTTTCTAGAGCTAACACAGCTGGCCAGACCAGCAGGCTTTCATTCATCTCCTGTGGGCTGTGACGCATGCTGTCTGCAGAGATATCAAAATAATGACTGCAGGCTTCGTAATAGTGTCTAATAATAATGTCTATTGTGTCTGTTTATAGAAAAAGGCATTCAGTGGGTCTCATTTCCTTTAAGGGAAGAAGTATATGGTTACAGGTATTCAGGTATCACCCTGAGCATAATTATACTCAAGCATGAAAAAATATGAGAAACAGGTTGGGGCACTGGACATCTTAGACTCAAGATCTAGATTTTTAATTCCAAATACCAGAGGAAATATTTGAGTTGTAATAAGAATGAGATGGTAAAATAGATACCTTGAAATAGCCTGTGGAAAAGGTGATTGAAGCATTTTTTTAAAAAATTGTGGGTTGGTTTATTTTTCCAAAGTGGCATTTTTACCTTTCTCTCTCTGTAATGTCAAGGTCATGTGTCTTCAACTTATTCAGTGGGATGGCCTTGTCTTTTAGATCACTTTTAGACAGATGCTCATTTTTATTGTGGTTATTTTTGAGAATTTCATGCATGTGTGCTGCATGTACACCACTCCACCCTACCCTCCTACTCAAAATCCTCCCACATCCCCTCCCAAATTCATGGTCTTTTCTCTAATTATTGTGACATGTATATGCACATGTATACATAGCTGAATCCTATTGGCTTATGTACAAGTGTCCAGGGATGATCACTTGCGGTTGAAGAGTCTATATGGGAGCTTGTCTCTCAGGGAAACTGATTCTCTCTCTTAGCATCCATTGATAACCTGTAGCTCTTCATGTAGGGGTTGGGACATGTGGAATTACCCCTGCCCATGTTGAAATGCCAACTGATATCTTATGGGACTTGTTCAGGCAGCCGTATTGTTGCAAGGTCATGGGTACATTTTCCACGTCTAGGGGACATGTCAAGGGGACACTATCTGATGGCAGACATCCTGGGCCTCTGACTTGTACGCTCTTTCCATCACCTCTTCCATGATTTTCCCTGAGATATATAGGTGGATACATAGGTATAGAGTTTGTGTTGCAGATTCATTTGGGGCTGGGCACCTGAAGTCATTTACTCTATGCATTTTGATCTCTGCAATAGTTATAGACTTTCTCTCAGCAGCTGACTGGGTCAACATTGTCTTAGAGACTCAACTTTTGGCAGCTTTTAAAATTAGATCCAACCTCCTCTGGGTCTGCAGCTCGCATTAAAATTCTCATGGTCATTTGTTCAATCATTTTCTTTTGCTGTGACAATTGATACTTTCATCTGCCCAATCCTGTGAGCGTCACCCAGCTGTATTGCTGAGTTCTTAGCATCTCTTTCATGGTGACTGTCCTTGGGGATGCTTCTCGTCCCCTCGCTCTCTCATATTATTATTCTCTTTGTTCATTACAACAATATTAGCAAATGATAATGTTTATTAATAGTACCATCAAAGCTTTCTGAGTGTTTTGAAGCTTCTTATTAGTTCAGCAGTGGGACTACACAAGCTATAAGTTTTAGGCACAGCAGTTTCATTTGCCAGTCTGAGGGTGTCTCTGGTACAGCTTGTTCTGTGTCCTCATCAGCCAGCAGCAGGGAATCCAAGGTGCTTCCGTGTGACCTGGTTCTCGTGAGGGACATGGCAGCCGGATGCAGAGAAACAATATGGCGGCTACTGTATGGCTTCCCACTGGTTAGACACATGAGTTTTCATAAACCCATTCACTATCTCAGGGTCTTATACATAATCAGGAATAATAGACCCTGCCATATGTATCCCAAATGCTGGTGTCTACCATGCTGTGGAGGTGTTTATATTGTTAGGTGATAGAGAAGACTGACTTTATAAACGAGGTATATGTGTATGGTGGGAGGGGGTGTCAGAGTTTGGCAAAGTTTAACTTATAAGTTGGGCACACTAAGAGAGCAGTGGTTAATAATATGTAACAATTTTAGCAATAGACTATCATAGCATGAGCGAGCGGATGAAGCAGGGGCTCAGAACCACCTGCAATTTCTGGCACCCACATGATTATTAGAACATACCCCAGAAAATACCAGGGGTGCTATGTTAGAGCCAGAGGCAACTTTATGAATAGGTATCTGTCTTTACCTCTCACGTTGGGAAACTGACCCATGGAGACCAAGTGACTTGTCATAATCAGCGCCATGTCTGGACCCAGTGCTTCTATGTCACCACAGGTCTGAACTTCTAAGTAGGCAGAATAAAGAACCCCACTACAGAAGACCTCAGAGGCTGTTCTCAAGCCCAGGAATGGGATGAACGTTTCACAAGCCAGTCCCTGGATTCCTCTTACATATATTATCATTATGAGTCTCCATCTTCCCAGTTCAGGCTTTAATTCTGGTTTTCAAAGTTTCAGAGTACAAGAGAGCCTGGGTTTTATTATCTAGTTGCGGTTGATTACCAAGTGGGTCTTTTCTTCTTGGAGGATCATCCTTCTGTGCCCTAGGCACCACCCAGCTGGTATTTTGTCTTTTCATGAGTCCTTTCCCTAGGTGCCAGTAGCACAGTCTCATGTGACAGGTACTTTGTAAATAATTAACCAGTGGAAGCATATATTCCAGATGCACCAGGCAGAAGAGCGTGGTGCTTTTTCAGTCCAAATGAAATGAGGAGAGATGTTTTCTGAGAAATCTGTCACTGTAAGCAGACAATGGTGGCCATGAAGCTTTCCCCTTTGGCTAGTGTTTTCAGCACTATATATATGTATGTGTGTGTACATATGCATACATACATACATAATCATATATGTATACATCGTGTGCACAGAATGTTATACATCATCATATGTTTGACTGTGATAGTGTTGGACTCCTTGAGCATTTTATTAACTTATTTATTAACAATTTATTAAATTAGCATGTCTACTTCTTTATGTGCCTTCTTCATCAACTAATGAACCATTACCAACACGGATCCCACCTTGGAACCCAACGTCTAGGCAGTGCTTGATGGCCCTTTTTCATTCTCAGTGTAATTCGGCCATAGATACTACATGCTACCTTTAAAATATGTCCCTACTTCAACTATGTCCCATCTGCACAGCTGAGGATATGTGCCAAACCACTGAAATTTCCTTCCTGCATGAGTTAAAAAATTTTGCTGTGGGAAAACACCTGGAAAATGCATCTGAAGGAAGGCAGGTTTAATTTTGCCTCTCAGTGCGAGGATGGAGCCCATCATGGCAGGAAAGGCTTGGTGCAGAAGCATGAGGCAACTGGTCAAACTGCATCCACAATGAGGAAACAGGTAATTCATCATCCCATTTGACATTCATCATCCCAGTTGACAACTGAATGATCTCATTTGGTAATTAAGATGGATGTTATTAACTTAATGGTACATTGGTGAGCCTATAATTAAACTGTGTGATCTAGACCAGTTAGAAGAACTATTGTATTTCAGTGGGTTCCAAACTTCAGAGTATACTAATATTTATTTGATTTCTGAATTGTTATGTTTGGGTGCAGCCTGAAAGTCTGTATTTACCAGCAAGCATAGGAATGACTCAGATTGTGTGTGTGTGTGTGTGTGTGTGTGTGTGTGTGACCAGAGATGAAACTCAGGGCCTCATGCATGCAAGGCAAATGCTCTACCCTTGAGCTACATCCTCAACACAATTTGAGGAAATTCATCTTTTAATACAATGAAGGGCTAGATCACAAAGAGACACAGTAGCCTGTCTCCAAAGAGACCTCACCATCTGCTTTGAGAAACACTGCTTTCTGTGCTAACAG